CAAAAACAGTTTTCTGTGTTTGATACTCTGATCAAAACACTTGGAATGTTGGGAGAACACTCGAGAAGATGGAAACCACTCTGCTACGCGTCGTGGTTTCCTACGCTCCTCTCGTGTTCTCCCAACATCCCGCGTGTTTTGATCAGAGTATCAAACACGGAAAACTGTTTTTGATCTGTTAATTAATAACCAGATTCAAACAATAGAAAACAAAGAAGTCAGAGCGTAATAGTACTAAATACGTTAAAATGTATTTCCCAGGTTTATGAAAATCACTCTATCATGATTAAAGTTGCCAAAAATTTCTATATTTTCGAACATTTTAGCAACTGGCCCTGTACTTTTCAAAGAAAATGGTTCAGAATTTATTAAAGAGTTAGAGAAGTTAATAGCCCACGATGGAGGTGATGATCCAGAACTGACATTCAAAGGAATGTTAGCTGCCATGGAAGAAGAACCAAACGAAGGCTCACCAGTGTATGTGTTCACAGACGCAACGGCAAAAGACCATACCAAAGACAACATCAAGACCCTGATAGACTATGCAAACGGTTTAAATGTCAACATCAACTTCTTTACAACTTCAGCCGCCTCTTCGTTCGCACCCTTCGTTCAAGTTGCCCGAGAAACCTGTGGGATGATACTTCGACTGGTAGACTCGTCAGAGATAAAGAAATTAGAAAGCATCACCAAATTGTCTTTGCGAAACTCCGGCGTTTGTGTGACCGATGGAAATGATGGAGACGACTTCGATAATAAAAAGCGTGCAGTCTCGAGAAGCAAGGTTATACTTGTAGACGATTCTGTGAAGAATATGATCATTTCAGTTTCCACCCAAAACCCAAAACCCGTAATTGTCCTCAGGGATCCGTCCGGTACAAGGTTTACTGGAAGAAAGATATCTCTGTTACGAGCTGCTATTTACGAGCTTATTATCCCGACTCCTGGTCGATGGACGCTGTCAGTTGCTGCGAGTGCTGGCAAGTACCACTATCTTGTCAGAGGATCTAGTGACTCAAACATCGATTTTGACTACTACTTTGTAATGCTTCCAACACGGAAAGGAAGATACCCCATCCCAATCAATCAGCCACTCGCAGGTAAGTCATTGAATGAATGGTGCGACTCTGCAATTCAAATTCTAAACTCAAGGTGGTTTAGAAAATAACTGCATGATACCAAAAATTTGCTACAAGGTTATCGTAAAGGAAATTCTTTAGCCTTTCAGATATTCATTCTTACAATACAATATTTTCAGCTAATAATGATTTCTATAAAAAAAACGAGTAAGAACAAATTATTGTAAATATACATTTAATTTTAGTATTTCTAAAGTCTGGGAAACAATACCCAAATCAATCAAAAGTCTTCCTTATTCGTCCTTCAAGCAGATGTATAAGAAATTCTTACTCAATAATCAATAACAATTATATCATTATATACATATATACATAATTATTTAATTTATCTCCTTTATTGCTATAGTGGAAATTTATACTGTTGAATTTAATATTATAGTATTATTATAATATATTAGCCTTGTAGTTTTTTTTCTTCTTCTTCTTCTTCTTCTTCTTTTTCTTCCTTTTTTTCTTTTCTTTACTGACCCTAAGTGAAAATTACGACAGCCAACTAGAAAGCTTTAGCTCCTTTGGCTGTCGTACAAAATTCTAAATATTATTCAAACTATATATTCTTGTAATTCTGTTATATAAAATTGAAAAAAAAACAGTGTAAATAAACTGAAATTGAATTGAATTTATAGGTCAGCGCGCCAACGCCATCATAACAGTAGCAGGGGCTGAAAGGATTCAACGAAACAGGCTCAGCGTTGAACTCATCGACAGCAGAAACGGAAGAGTACTAACGACGGTCGCCATGACACCTCGCAGCTCATCCAAAGCTCATTTCGTCGTGTCATTTACTCCACCTTCAACGCCATTCAAACTCAGAATGAAAGGTCGAACCAAAGCAGGCAACGTCTTCGAACGCTCATCCATAAAAACAATCCGAGCAACTACTGCTCTCATTCGCGTCTACAGAGCCAAAGATGGTCAACTGACCATTCCCAGAGGAAGACGCATGTTCGTCATTCTATTGATCTTCAACGTTGGCCCAACTGAAACCTTTGACGTGTCCGTTAACGATCCAAAGCAGTATGCCACAAAAAGACGCAAGAGACACGTAAAAGTCAACAAAAACCGCAGTCGTAGGTTTAGTATGTGGTTCACAGCTCCTTTGAGTGCAACACCCGGTGAAAGTTACCCTGTTGCTGTCACCATCAAAGGAAGAAAGTCTCGCGTTGAAACAGGCCAAATCCTCAACTTTATGGTTGTCTGAATCTTCCGAGTCATTTAAGACATTTATTAGTAATACAATGATGATCATGATAAATTAATGATAAATATAGTTGATGGATGACAATCAAGCGCTAATTAAGAGCAATAACTAAAGAAATAAACTTGGATAAATAACCTAAGATAGAATGATAAGATAAAATGAGCTCCTCATCAAACTCTGTCTTCTTGAGATTGATATAAATGCTGCTTGCGTAAAACTATTTCAGTAGAACAATAAAAGAAAGCAGCAGCAAAAATGTTTCTTTGAATTTTTAATTCTCCTTTCCTTTCCTTTCCTTTCGATTCCTTTCCTTTCCTTTCCTTTCCATTCCTTTCTTTAAGTATAAATAACATTTCAATGATATAGAAAATCTGTCCTGGCAATTGTTCGAGATTGAGTTCATTTTGATGTAGAGCGTCCAGGATTTATCAATAATTCACATCAGTTTTCAAGGAGCGCAGTGGTTCACCCCACAGTAAAGATCGCTGGCGATCTTGGCAATGACGCCTTTTTGAAGCAGCTCGAGTACACAACACATGAAGTCTAGATCTTCACGCGCATATACTGAAACAACAACAACAACAACAACAACAACAAAGGTTTATCATATCAGAGGCAGAATCTACTTTATTTTACACTGAACTTGCTTGTGAAAACCAGTATATTTACAATAACGCTCAAGGCAAGGAAATACAAAAGTCTATATCAAGGTGATGTATGTAAAGATATTCACCACTTGGATCCTGTATAAAGCATGGCTGTAAGGGAGTTTCAAACGATTTTTTTAAATTTGAGCTACACCACAGCCTCAATCGGATACTTTCTGTTGGACCAGGGAATCGATGGATGAAAAGTGGTCATTTATTCGTCCATATCTGCTGACGTTATTGCCAGCATTTTGCTTAATTAGCATACATCGGCTTTCTAATTTTCAACAAATTAAACATACTGAATAGATAGGAAATAAAAGTAAATGCCTTGTTAGTAGAGTGCACGGCCTAAACCCGTGAAACATATTTAGTACTAATAAGTAGTAATTCATACAGAATCCTTGTTTTTCTATTGTTTGATTATCRCTATTTAGTACTAAAAATTAGTATTTGTTTCACGGRTTTAGTGCGAGCACTCTATCTACTAAAGATTTTGCCGGAATCTTTGGTCTAATATTTGACTGGAAAACAAAGCTATAACTAAAAGCACTGAAAAATTTCAAAAAAACGTATGGCTGGGCTGTTGCAGCTCTTGCCACCGAGCACAAAGTCATACATTCTCAACATATAGAGCTTTTAAGTCGCGACGTATTTCCAGGTCCAACTGCTCACAAAACAGCTAAAGTAAAACGAAAAATGTTCTCAATTATTTAACCTCCAAATGAAACAATTACAAATTATTTGGACAACAAATACTATCATCCTATCCTATCATCTTTATAGAACTACTTTTCGCTTTAGACCCGAAAGTTGTTTTTCCATATGATTTACGTCGTACTTTAAAGCTCTATGTTTCAATAATCGACAAGATTCGACACTTGTTGTCTTTGACCTTGAAGTTCAATTTCTGATAAATGGGAAGATCCCTCTTTGTGGTTAAAGTATCATTGAACTTTAAAATAGCACGATCAATAATTAAATTTAAAGCCCTAATCTACGTAACAAATCATGGCTCAGTATATTAATATATAATTTATACTTATTGCCTCTGTTAATCTCGGTTAAGTATTTAACCGCTAACATACTTAACGCCATTTATAGATTCAACGAACTATAGTAAGGTCGATTTACAATTCTTTTTTGTTTTCTTGTGTTGACAAATTAGTTAATAGCTAGTTAAAATCGAGTCAACTAGGCACTATAATAAAAGAAATATACATGTAGGCTATAGAATGTTTGCACCCTAACGAGATGGCAGCTATGACAGAAGGCACAACAATAGAAACCTTTCGTTCCGTCTGGGAAACACGGGCAGATTATATAGGCAAAGCTCCCAAAGCTCTCTAGGAAACCGAGTACTGCAAAATGGAGCAAAGAAATCAAAGGAACTATCAGATAAAAATTACTCTGCTTTTTTTCGCCTGTTCAAATACTTACATTTCATGGAAAATGTAGAAGGAAAAATTGTTCGATTAATTTTCAGAGAAGCCTAAAAACCGTAAGTACTCGGTTTTCCATCATGCTTTGAGATATTCCTGTAAGTGCATATTGGCGTTTCTTTCTCCTGTCATTGCTATCATCACCTATATACTTGTGGTCAGTTGTCCTAAATTTATGAAAAACTACCGGTTATACATGTGCTATTATCAAGAAGTGATTTGAAGTCTTAACATTCAAGATCATGGTATATAGGTAGTAGATGATATCTTGCTTTCATCAGATAGCTAACTATGCTAAATATAGCTTGCTCTGTGATTGGTTGGTAGTTTTGACGTCAGTTTATTTGGGCGGATTTATTCGATGAATTCACTTTACATTTTGGCTCTATATGGCCAATTTTACCAAAATTGGGAAGTTGAAAAAAATATCTTCAGGACGAAAATATGTGGATGTAACACCAAGGCCAGGGTCAACTGTACTTATTGTGATCTAGAAAACTCATATCATTTTACGAAAATGAGGTCACAACTACCAACCACTCTGTGCGAGTTATATTTAGCTTAGCTGTTAATCTGCATGACGACATGGAGCCTATATATCTTGAGAGATATGGTCCCCTAGGAATTTTCCCCTGCTTGATAAGATTGCTATGGATTTTCAAACAAACCTGGGTAGAAATACAACAATTTCCTCAGAGTAGAATTAATCCACGGTATTTGATTTCGCTCACGTTCTCTGACTTTGCGCTTGACCCTTTCCAACAAGCTTAACAGGTGTTCCTTACAAGAGTGTTCTCTAAAAACGTCTACAAAAGATTGGACGTAAGCGCTTCCGTAATCATCCCAACCGTATGAATTTTGTCCCTCATAGCAACTGTAACCATATAGATTATCGTATTCCTCAGGACGTCTTCTATCATTGAGACCAGGCCTGGCTATTTGTGCTTGTTCTCCTGGGTCGTCTCTATGAACAACTCCATCATCTGCCGCTGTTCCTCTGCATGCTTGAATAAAAAACAACTTGGGCTTTCCCTGGAGAGCCTGACAGTTTTGAAACATGTCAAAGATTTCTTGCAAGCGCACTTCTTCGCCATCGGAAGCGTAAATATAATTTTCTTTGCCATGGCTCATGATGAAAACAACCAAGCAGTCGTAGAGTGAGAATTTAGTAGTTTTAGAAAAAATCTGCAGCCTAGTTAAAAATTCATTCTGCTTTAGGTCCGAATGATATTGAACTTCAAAAAGCAAGTCCGGGAATAGACGACTAAGTGAATTTACATCTAAATGGGAACCCAAGAATTCGACAAGCCGACCGTACATCTTATGGCAGGGATGAAYAGAGAATCTATTTATGTTGATAATATATGCAATTCCTCTAGGATTACTCGTCATCTTGTAAACAGTGTTGATACACTCTGGCCGATCACTTGGTGGGATATGACGATCCAAACACGTTGGTGCAACAAATCTACTTTGGTTCTCATTCATCGGTGGTTCTAGAAATGAAAAATTATATTCTTTTAATGAGGAATTCTTTTAGGAGAGAATGCGAAGAATCTATATGTTTTTTCTTCGTTAAAATCTTCATTCATACTAAGAACTATTTTGTAATCTCGATCAGCTCAGATCAGCTCAATTAAATACATTAGATACAAATATAAAGTCTATATATATTCTCATATACATATATCTCCTCCGATAAACCCACATAATGTGTACTCGAAGTCTCATGTGAGACTTGGTAGCTCAGTTTATGGCACCGGAGTCGCCAAGGTACGGGTTCAAAACCCGTTCAATTTCAATAATTAGCAGCTTCATGAGTTGCTTGATATACTGCGCAGGTCAACTGAATTAGATACATTATAACCGCAGTACAAATATAAAGTCTATATATATTCTCATATAAATAATATGACTGTAAATGCGATAAGGAGTGATTTCCCCCCTTCTTCCAACCTTTCATCAGCACCTTTAGAGATATCAGGGTAATCTAAATAGGGCTCTGTAGATAAATCCATTCCAATTTTAATACTAACCAGGATCTATATCCATTACTTCTTCTGGAGGATCATTACCCATGCTTACTACTGTTGGATACAATCTCCTTCGATCGATTGCAAGTCTGCCAATCCGATCATTCTCGACGAACTCCATGGTTGGGTAGAAACAGAGATATAATATGTTGCTTGTGGCATGGATTTGGAAGTAATCGTAGTTAATGCTATAGACTAACTCTTCCCGGTATCTACCCCCTTCAATAAACCTGAAATAGAATTAAAAGGATATTTTATGAATTATTGTTTTCCTTAGTTTGACTGTATTCAATATCGACACATTTTATAGCGGTCGTAGACCAATAGGTAATTTGCTCTAACATAACGGCATATCACCTAAAACTCGAACCGTCAAAATGGACAATATGAAATAAAAATTAAAGAGTACTATGAGCTGTCAAATCAACTGAGATCAACATGATATTGCATCGTAACAAAATAATAAGATACGTACTTCACATAGACGTTTTCCTCTGCTTGTATATCCCAACCATCTTCCACCTGTACGTATGCCATTTCTCCAGGTCTCATCGCTGCTGTAGACACAGCCAGTCGTTCATAGCCTAATCCTTCACAACCGAAAAATAAATACTTAAATTACACAAAAGTAATTTTTAGCTACGGCGAACTCCAATGACACGAGTGAAAAGTGAAAAAACGTCTGCGAATGCTCTAAGTGCGTATTTTAAATCAGTCAAAACGTATAAAAATTGCTGCCGGATATATGCTTTAATGCTTTCATTAAAGAATACTGACAAACTGAAGAATATTAAAGGAATTTTTTCTTTGTTAGGCGAAAACGAAAATTTATTTTTTCACGAAAGGCAAGCTTGCACAAACGTTTTTCTCTAGTGTCCCCTCCAATACAATTTGCAAAGCTGACCAATCATAGTGTAGATTGAAAACAAACCAATCCAACTCAACCAAAACTTGAGCCAATCAACGAAGCCGCAATTTGATTTTATTTCTGACAAAAACGGATTTAGAATGACTCAACAACTCGTAGGAATGAAACGTTGTGATTGGCTGAAATCAATATGATATTCATTTTTCTATTTCCTGATTGGCACATGCAGGTTTGTTCGCCACAGGCTTTTTGATTACCTTCGTTAAACTGAAGTGCTTATACATTTCTTATGCATTAACATGAAAAAAAAAGATACCATTATTCCTTAGAAAGTCATTTTATCCTGTATTTTGCTAGTATATTTGTTTGCTTCTTTGTTTGTTTTGTTGTTTGTTTTTGAAATATGTGCAGTTCTTTTTTACCTATGAATTCGTGTTCAAAGTTAACAAAAATAGAGGCACAAGCAATGGTAAGCTTCAGGGAATCGTTGTTCTCTTTAAAAGCTCCCAGAAAGACTTGCTGCTGACTTCTCCACCACCAAGAGATTGGCTCAGCAACCGTCAACCTGAAAAAATCAATTGAAGTTAGATGAAATGAAGAAAAGAAAATTGAAATGAAACTAGCTAGTTTAAAGAAACTCGAATGACAACATAAATAGTCGAATCATTTATATATCAATGAACTGCGACCAGCAACTTTATTGGGTAATGCGCTTTGCAAACACCGAATTTGAAACCTGCTTACCTCTTTCCCACATGGTTCGGCATCATTCCATGTTTCCCGAATTAGACAATTTACTACCGTCGATTGTAAGACAAAACATACCTACAAAAATGTTGAACATGAAGTTCCAAGAAGCCTTCTTCCTTCTTTTCCAGTTTTACATTGCCTTTAACTTCATTCCAACGTTTTCCAGGATGCACCGCGCCCTTTTGAGACAAAACTCGTAAGCGACCAGGAAAGTCGTCTGTAGAACCCTCGTGCGGAAATTTTATGGTAACAGGCTTCAAGAACTTGATGTCTTTAAACCCGCTAAAAATGAAGATCATCTCTGGCAACAAAACCACCTGTTCAAAAGAAAAAAAAAAGAACTTTCAAATCATTACATAGTATAACTATAGTGATGGCTAATTATAAGCTGAATATTTTGTTTGTGAAGTGGAAAATGCTTTTTAATGGACCAAATAAATCACCTAATTACTCACTTGGATCGGTCTATCCATATTTTATTTTTTCTTAAACATGAATTCAATAGTCTTTTTATCTCCTTTTCCTTCGATAAAAGTCGCCATCTTTGTATTTGATGAGCCTGCAATATCTTATTAGGTAAGACCGCAGATACGTCTTTAACAAAGGGAGCGCCTGACCCTTCATCTAAATAAGGAAAGCATTGTTCGTTTATTTTCAAAATTATTCGAGGGGTTTTCCTGAACATACTGAATCGAATTGGACGCATCATTTGCTTGTTCTACGGATTATTTTCAAGGGATTTTTCTTATTAATAGATTGAAGAGTTCATTAGGGTCCAATGTTTTACTTCAATGTGCTCCAACTGCAAAAGGATTGCCTGTTAATAATACTTGATCGTGCCGAGTATTCGTTCAGAAGACCTGGCTGAAGATATTTCCTTATTTTCGAAACTTAACAGGGAGATACTTCCATGTTTCCAAAGCAATCGAATGAAATAAGACGAGTTGTGGTCAAAACAAAACTACTAAGTACAATGCATAGCAGTATTTGGATTTCCGATTTATTCAAAGTTGAGCTCCATATTTAAAAAGGTAACAAATGTTGTTGACTCGCCATTCTTTGATAGTGCTCAGCAGTAAACATGTTTAATTCTTTCTAAGAAGAACGGTTTATTGCCAGCAATTCAAGTAATAGGCTGTGTTTTCACTAGGTTTCCTAACTAGCCTAAAATTCCTCAAGGTGTTTGTTGACAGACCAACTTTAGACCAGTATAACTTGCCGACTGTTTTCACTTGAATTTTTAGTGTCAGTATGAGTGACAGATTCTTGGATATAGTTACACCCCGCGCATTTCGAAATAATGGCGGGAGATGAAGGACTCGTGTTTACAACTCTTCTTTTAATCGTGGCTGTCTTTCTTCGCAAACGTTCACGATTTCTTCGCAATCTTCGATTGTTATCCTTAAGAGGGAGGCAAGGAGCAAATCTGGCATTTCTTTTGTCAATACAACGACGAAATCGCCCAAGAAGAAGGAAGTTAGCTTGGGTTTATCCTAGGCCTCAGTTTTGGTTTGAAGAGCTTTTGAATAACAGAAATCTAGATCATTTGTGGCGTGAACATTTTAGAGTTAACAGAAACACATTTGATTTTATTTGTGGGATTGTAGGTCCATATATGAGCAAGCAGGATACAATCTTACGTCAAGCGATACCAGTAGAGAAGCGAGTAGCTATCGCTTTATGGCGATTAGCCACAGGGAACTCCTACAGAACTGTTGCGCTTAGTTTTGGAATAGGACGATGCACAGCAATGAACATTAAGGACGAGTTTTGTTCGGCTCTGATGAGGCGTGTAAACGAATTTATCAAATTCCCGAAGACAGAAGATGAAACTAGACGTTGTATACAGGGTTTCCAAAATATAAGCACATTTCCTCAAGTTGTGGGTGCGCTAGATGGATCACATATTCCTATAACAGCTCCAACAGAAAATCCGAATGAATACCGCAACAGAAAGAATTTTCACAGCATAGTTTTACAAGGAGTTGCTGATGCTAATATGAAATTCATCCATGTAAGTACTGGATATGCAGGAAGCATCCACGACTCAAGAGTTTTACGAATAAGTTCCCTTTTCAATGCGGTACAGAATAACCAAATTTTAAACTCCCCCGTCCGTCGAATCGGCGGTAGAGACGTAAAACCCTTATTAATTGCTGACCCAGCGTATAAGCTATCTACATGGTGCATGAAGCCTTATCCACAGGCCAGGGGAATCACTGCAAGGCAAGACGCTTTCAATAAATCCCTAAGCGCTGCAAGGGTTGTGATCGAACAAGCGTTTGGGCTATTGAAAGGGAGATGGAGGTGCTTGCTAGATAAACTAGATGAGTCCGTGGATAAGGTACCTATCACAATTATTACTTGTTGTATTCTTCACAACATCTGTTTAGATATGAACGATGATACCGAAATTAATCCAGTGCGCGATGGAAACGTTGCTCCTCCTCTCCCCGGCCATATTGTAAATCAAGATGGAACACGGCTAAGGAATATCATAAAAAACACTCTATACTAAACCACCACAGATACATTTTGTTATTGTTGAAATATCTCATTTTAATAATGTTTTTTTCAAATCAAATACTACAGCTAAGCTTAAATTATACACTGTATGTATATATATATTGGTATTTTATTCATAGCACATGACCAAGTGAAGCATATTGTATTGCCATAATGATTTATTTGAATCAAATAATGTCCATTGTATAAGTTGAACAGCAACAAATATCTTAATTCATGTTTATACATGCAGTACATGTGGCTAATTGAAATGGTAATGAAATATCTTGTAATTGAAATATCTCATTTTAATAAATCAAATACTACATCGCAGCTTAAAATATACGCTAAGTAAGCTGTCCATGCATTATATTATATTGGTATTTCATTCATAGTACATGATCAAGTTAAACAGTAATCAAGTTAAATAATGTCGATCAAATAAAGTTGAACAGCAACAAATATCTTAATCATGCACGTTTGTATATGCAGTGCATGTGGCCAATTGGACTTGAAATAAAAAATATATAAAAAACTGTAAAGAAATGTGTTCAGTGTATGTCTGTAAATAGGGTACAGAAATAGGCAGATCACATAAAAAAAGTTAAATCATTCAGTTTCCTCCTTTAAAAATTTTAGCAATTTCTTTTACCGTGTCAAACATAAGTTTTTGGCTCTTCAGCTCACGCTCGCTCTCCTTCTCTGCCAATTGTGCGAAAAATTCGTGGTCCTTTTCTTGACTAGCGTTTAAGAAGTCAAATAGTTCTGATTCAAACTGAGAAGAGGCTTTTTTTGCTTTCTTTGCGGGCGTTTTCGACGATGGCTGCTTTCCCTTGCCGGTACATGTTCGCTTACCCTGGCTGGTTGTTTTTTTGTCCTGGCGAGGTCTCTCATGTGTGGATTCATCTACATCATCATCTACATCATCATCCTCATCCTCATCATTTTCTTTCTCAATTGATAAGCTTATGGGCGAATATGATGGAGATTCGTCGCTTGCGTCCAAACCGCAGTCCAATACAATCCTTGGGGTTATATTTGGTTTACATCCTAACACCACATCTAAGTCTTCGTAGTATTCGAACGTCTCTCTGTTATTCCCTGAACGACCATTGTGGTCCTTGACCCTTTTATATTCATCTTCTAAGTGTTTAATGCGAGCCTTACACTGTACTCCACTGCGGAACGTTGTAATTCCTTGTTCTGCCAAAACCTTGTTCAATTGCTTAGCTATGGAATCCCAAGCCCCACTGTTTCTCCGTTTGCTAATAGGATAGCTCTCACGCCAGATTTCTAAAAGGAATCTCGTCTCTGCATCAGACCAATTTTTTCCACGGCTCTTAGCGCATGAGGATGCCTCTCCAAATGAACCCGAGGATGTAGAAGGAAGGTTTGCATCGCGACTAGTGGGAGGGATGTTTCTGGACGATGTTAAATTTAGCGTATTTGGGCCACGYGGTGGAGTATCAGCCGGAAAAGTGAAGCTAGTAGATGGCGCACGAGGTGGTGTACTAGCAGGAAAAATTAACGTAGTAGGTCGTGRTGTAGCAGCTGGAAAAGTTAAGCTAGATGCTCTCACTTGCGGCGGATTGAGGTAATAACGTGGAAAGAGTAAAGGTCCTTGGCTTGTGCTTGGCGAATCGAAAGCCAACGGTGGTGGGATCRTAAAGCGATGTCTAAAAAGTACAAGAAAACCGAGCAATCATTATATGAACACTCGATTATAGTAAGAAGAATATTTCACATCTAAACTTTAGCTACTTACGTAAAGTTAGAGGATGGATCCATGTTCGAGGATGGATTCGTGTCGTCTTCCATTGTTGCTGTACTGAGAACACTCGACGAATATCTGACCTTTTTATTTGACATTTGTCTGTCAAGAACATCGCTGTGATTGGTTGATGTGTTTACTTGGACAAGTTAAACCATCTTGCTAGGTAGTCTAACTTTTGCGGTATTTCCGGTGTTTGAGCAACGATTTTGCCCTTGAAAGTTAGGGTGTTTTCACTGTATTTCCGGAACCGYGACACCTTAAGGAATTTTAGACGAGTTAAAACCCCTAGTGAAAACACGGCCATAATTTAAGGTAAAAGTTCAAGGTCAAGTTCAGTTTATTTACACTTTTAATAAATTAAAACACTCATTAATAATTCATAAGCTTATGGTCCAATTGGAGCCACCATACACGTCACGTGCATGAACCTTTATACCCGATAAATTCCTCTTCATTCAAGTGATTTTATATAAAGACACGTGTCTTTATATAAAGACACATGTGATCTTTATATAAAGACCACTCGAATACTATGAGGATGACTTCATCAGGGATGAAGTATGCATCCAAGTTTAGATGAAGATATAGAGCTTCATCAAGGTCATAGTCAACCCTAATAATCTTTGACTAACGTGCCTGTCTTTGCCTTGGCACGCAATACCCAACGTGTGGGAGCTTCTATTTAATCTAGTTGCGCATGCCCGTGACGTCAAATCTCTATCGAAGTATATAAATCCATGTTCGTGACGTGTATGGTGACTCCAGTTGAACCAAAATCTTATAAATTGTTCATGAGTGTTTTAAGCAGTTCAAAAAACTCGTAGATCGTGTTTCATCAGGTATAAAAGCACTCGGCTACGCCTCGTGCTTTTATACCTGATAAAACACTCCTACTCGTTTTTTAAACACTACATAAGTTACAGAATAAGAAAAGATTAATGACAGTATTTAAAAAAAAACCCTAATTAAAGATAGTTTTATAAATAATGATTTCAATTATGGAAAAGTGTGTAGTGGTCAAAGGAGCATACCTTTCAAGTTGACCACTGCACTGGATAGGTGCCAAGTCTTATAAATATTTATACGAGCTTTGGAGCAGGCGTAGCTTAGTTGGTTAGTGCGCGACCTTCAGAGCTTTTGAGGTCCACGGTTCGATCCTTAGGATCTCCACGTCTGTTTCGACTTCTCTCTAATCCGTGTAGCTTCAGCTTTAAATACTCTTAAAACAGAGCACTGATGGAGAGAGGGAATAAAGTGCGCACCGTCGGCTTCCATTGATAGCAGTTGAATTTCAACTGAAGGAACTACCGACGTTAAATATAGGTACCTTTTAATTTTTTAAGAATATTTGTTCTTTATATAATAAATATAGAAAATTTCATTATGGTAAATGCGAAATAAATATATAATTAAATAATTAATTTTGATATAGATTAGTGAATTTGTAACTGCAAGTTCTTCTTGAATGAATAGTATGAAAAAAGCGCGATACCACTATTGGGATCGAGAACGTTTTATTTGACCACAACGACAAGAACCAGTTGAGTGTTGCTTTCTAAGGAGTTCGCAAAACGAACTTTAGAACCATCAACTTAAACGAGGCCGTAAGATGACGAAACAACTTGCATCAAGCTCAAAGCAATTCAAAGTGATCATGTGGTACATAATCCATACATCTCATTTGTTGAGGAGGGCAAGGCCCACTTTGGGCCTACCCTCTTAATTTTTAGTAAAAAGAGAATACAACAGAAACTGAGTTTCCTGTTTAGATGTCAACATTTTACGGTTTTTCATGATAAGATATAGCGGGCTCATTAGAAAGTCATAGATGGAGGTTACATTGATTTAATCGAAGAAAACTAAATAGGTAAAAAGACAACTTAATTCATGTTTATTCTTTGAAGACCGACGTAACAAACAATAAAATATGGATAGGCAGATCCACGTGAGTAATTAAAGAGCTATTTGGTCTACTAACAAGCGTTATCCCTATCACAAACCAAATATTCTCCTACAGCCCATGGGCTAATGCAAGATTAAATTCACACAAATGTTATACTACGAACCTTCATGGATCCAGTGATTGTCTTATCAACAGCTCCTTCAGGAAACGTAACTGTTACATCATTACATACTGAAGACGTGACAACACATCCAGTTGGTGTAACCTCGAACGTATCAGTGACAAGCCTGCTGATAACGGCTAAGGTTGTCAGCTTAGAGATCTTTACTTGAATAACGTTGCCAGCTTTGTAGTTTTTGGGAATATGTGAAGTGTCCTTGAATTCTAAATGAGTAGGTTGAGATTAAAAATACTGGAGGTTACGATGCCATTTAGACAAAAGTCATAATTTGCAATTCTCAAAAAAAAACAAAAAAAAAAACAAAAAAGTCAGTCATGTTGGTGATGTTCATACTAAATATTACTAGCTCGGTCACGAGCCGTAAACATTATTTCATGAAAAAAAAGTATGGACTCCAACAGCCTTGGTGGTGCTACTAATAAAGATATTTCGTTAATAGAACGTCTATTAACGAAATATCTTTCGTCTAGATCCGTCTTTTTATTGAAAATAACAAAGGTAGGCCAAACGAATTCCCACAAACCTAGAGCACTATCTTCAGAAGGCAGACTCCTTTTCCTCCCCGCCTGCGTACGTCCCGCGGGCTCGCGAAAGCAAAGTCTGAACAACGAGCCGGAAAATTCAATTCTACATTTCAGTATTTCTATTCATTTTAAACACGAAACGAAAAGGGTTTTGCACACCTTCTTTGCTGAATATAGCGATATCAATAACATCACAAGAATTAACACCACACGTAATTCATTAGTCAATGTATTTTGGGTAGCGCTCGTGACTCAGACATTTTTTTCGCGGGGAGGCACATGCAGTCGGGGAAAGAAAGGACGTCTGTTTTCTCGGCCTAGTGATACAAAAGCTAAACAAATTAAAGCAAGCCAGCAAAGGATGAGCTAATAACCTTGAGCATGAGAATGATTTCGAGACTAGAGTATTCTTACCTTCTATTTCCTTCCAAATGCGTTCCTCGTCGTTGAAAGCCTTCACTATCATTTCATAACCAGATTTTTTCCCAGGACCTGCATGCAGCATTGTCACAATTACTGGTTGCTGTAGTTCGACAGATGATGGACCAAGCTGCACTATGTGGCTCACGAGAGTCTCCATAGGATCCGCCTCAGGCGAAGGTATACTTTCGCGAGAGCATACTTTGCAAACCACTTGAGTGGAACTTTCAACAGTATTTGGAGGAAATTCAAGTAGAGCACCATACATAGAGATGTCAAAACGACCCCCTTCTTGAGTTCTGTTGAATAAGAAAGAATAACAAGCTTTATAATGCAAACACTAATGACTTATAAGGATTCCCAAGAGTCAATTAGAAACTGAAGAAATGGCAGCCATTATGGTGGGGTTCAGAACAAAGGAGGCCGATGGGAAATATTTTGCTATACTACGAATATAGCCGCGATGATGCAAACAAAGAATAGAAGTTAATTGCCTCTTTGCACAACTAAACTCAATTTCTCATCCGTAGTGTAAACGTTATACGTTTTGCAGCTATTTTTACCTCTACGTTAAGTATTATTCTTAAATACAACTATCTTTAGCTAACCGAAACTTACACTTCAATAATTGCTTGGTTCTGCTTGTTAGAGATGGTCAGCGATTTCATTTCATTGGAAACCAAGGGGCTTGCTGCACTTTCTGCCAAACTATGATATTGACTGATGCTTTCTGTGTCTTGCTTTTCCTCTTCTCGTCTGCTTTCTTCTTTTTCTGTTGCACTAACTTTACTCCTGGAGATTCCAAGGTACACCAAAACTATGGGTTTGTGTTTTTCTACTAGTTTTTCTACGCGTTTCTTACATTCTACAGTTATTTCCTCATTGCCCCATAAGTCTAATCGTTCTACATGACAATTATCTTTTATGATAACCCTACAAATACTCTCTGCTCCTTCATCTGTAATACTATTAATCCCTAGGTCCAGGTAGGTTATTTTAGTTTGTGTTAGTACACTACAAATACTCTTCACTCCTTCATCTGTAATATTATTCCCAAATAGGCCTAGGTGGGTTATTCCAGTGTTTACTAATGAGTCAGTTAGTATTTCTACACATTTATTATCTAAACTACAATGCAATAGCTCCAGTGCAGTTATGAACGAATTACGAACAAGTGAACGACAAACAACACCAACACCAAACGAGGTTAAAGATGAATGAGTGATTTCCAATGTATCAACAACAAGTGACTCTGGATGTTGTTCTTCTTTTAGTGAACGAATAATATCCACCAAATACAATAAGTATTTCAGATCAAAATCGGTTGTTTGTCTAAAACAAATGTGCTCATACACCACAGATATATCGTAAAGATAATGCATGCTTTGTTTAGTTAGTTCTTCCTCTCCATACTCATACAGACACTGTAACATTAGCAGTTGGTTTACATGATCATTATAATGCTTAGGTGTTATCTGTTGGAGTAGTTTATTCATTAGATGTTCTCCATATTTTTTCCTGGCCAAAAGTCCAGATATGAACACAAATGTCTGCCCACTTGCTATCTCTTTCTCTGGGATTTCTCCATTCTTTACAAAGAAGGAAGCAGCGAGAAATTCTTGCAGCGTCAGATGAGTGAAACTAAACTCTTCTTTTGTTTGAARARSAGAAATTCTAATTCCAGGAACACAATGAAGGATGCCACTTATCTTCAAGTTTTCAATTTCGTCCTCGGTAAGGTCTAGCTTTTTCATATCTTCTTCGTCAAAAATATATTTACTTTCCTTCAGTAAATTAGCTGCTAATTTAGCTAGTTTATCTAGCGTTTCTTCAGCTATTTTCATCGCATATTCTGACATTTCTGAATATTTGAGATTTGCATGGGGTTTTTGTACCAAGACTTTAACAACCTCATCATAAAGATCGGTTATTTTAGCGGGTAGATTTTCTGCGATTCCCGAACTACTAATTCGCCATTCTAAACACCAGCAGAACAAGAAAGACAATAGCGGAATATGACAAAAACTCATCAGGTTCTCATTTTTTTCTATGTGTTCGCGTACCGTCTTTTTTGTTCGTTCTTTTCCTGGTTCGCTGAAATATTTGTCAACATACTCGGTGACTTGTTCAGGTGAAAAGCCCGAGATTTCTACGTATCTGTCAAAATTGATTTTTCCCAACTCCTCGGCCTCGCCTGGCCTTGAAGATACCAGAACAACAGAATTTCTTAAAAGTTTTCCTCTAATCAATTTAGAACAAAGTACAGGGATTGGCATCTTTTCTTTGGAATCATTTGGATATATTCCCTCGTAATCGCTAGCGATTTGTTTACGGTGCTGTTCCGAACATTCATCAAACCCGTCCAAGATGATCAGCAACTTGGAGGGATTTTGAATCAAATATTCAAATAATGAATCATTGATGACTGAATTGTCGTCAAGAAGGGGCGAACAATTCAGTAATTCTTGTAAATTAATCTTTTTGTCGCCCTTTGAACTGAGCTGACGGAGCTTCAACAGGTAGGCAAACTGAATATTAGGAGTGTTTTCGTTTTTAAATAATCTATTAATAGACCAATCTCGTATGACTTTCTCACAGAGAAAGGTTTTACCTATCCAGGGTTCACCGGTAAGAAGTAAGTTTGGATTTTCTCCTTGCATGTCATTGAAGATATCTTCGTATTTATCAACTTTACAACTCATCGTTCTTTTGGTGTATCCCTGCAGCTGTTCACTTCTACCCAGGTCTTTTGCTTGTCCTTTTTTCTTTTGTTTTTTATCTGCATAATATACTGTTAGATTGGTAACGATTTCATCTGTCTTTGCACTGGGAACGTCATGTGCAGCCATGAATTTAGTTTGGTAGTCTGTGCTGCCTTTTATTGCCTCTTTTAGCATTTCGGAATCTAGAAGAAAAAAAAGATGCTGCAGCCAATCTTTATGAAATCCAAATTATATGGCGAGGGACTAAGTAAGTGTACTATATTTTTCTTTGAATGTGTGGTTCCAGGGAAAAAAAACATACTCATGGAGGAAATTGGAAGTATCCAGATAATGAGGGGACAGATGGAAACAAAATTACAAGGTTTGAATGGAAGAAAATTGGAAATTCCAAAGTGGAGGGGTATCTACACACTATATGAATACATCTATACACCTATACTCTATATACCAGATGAGTACATCCATACATCTATACACTATATACGGATATATAGATTACTTCATGGGAATGGCTCGCGTACGGTATTTTCGCAGATATATATGTTATTTACCGGGCAGGAGGTCCGGATAAGGAAAAACTGTGCCCGAGGTCTTGAATATACGGACCGAGGCCGTTAGGCCGAGGTCCGTTTTCAAGACCGAGGGCACAGTTTTTCCCTATCCGGACCGACTATAGGACGGTAAATAACTTATTTATATTTTTCCCGTATTTTTTTAACTTGTTTTTGTAATCGTTTTGTGTTGTCGTTTGGCGGCAAAGGATACCGGAACGCGCGCGCGGGCAGATACTGACAAAATACCGCCCGCTCAAACAGCCAATCAGAACGCACGATTTTAAGGATACCGGACCGGAAAAAAATAAATATAGATTACTTCATGGGGATCGCGAGCGTACGGTATTTTCGCAGATATATAGATTACTTTATGAGGATGGCGCGCGTACGGTATTTTCGCAGATATATAGATTACTTCATGGTGTTGGCGCGCGTACGGTATTTTCGCAGATATATAGATTACTTCATGGAGTTGGCGCGCGTACGGTATTTTCGCAGATATATAGATTTCTTCATGGAGTTGGAATTTTCTCACGAGTTGGTGACATGACAAACCAACGAGTGCGAAAATGCCGTACAAGTGCCCTCCCCATGAAGTTATTCGTTTATTTCATACAAGCTGATATTTTCTAGTTGTTTCTTTATTATTATTATCACTATTATTATTATGTTTGTTTGTTTGTTTCATTATTGAACTTAATTAGCGTACAGTTTTAAAATCTAAAAGCAACTTAATCTTACTATTTGATTTTGAGTCGTGCTAAAGGAGCAAAATGATAGTAAATATCGTCTCAATAACTATGGTATTCAAGTAGGAAAAGTCCAGTAAGCCACCAAAAATTGATTTCAAATTACAAGTAAAGTTTTGCTTATAGCAAGTAAAATGTAACAATCAAGTCACTGTACCTTTGGGCTGTCATCGTCGTCGGATGATTCGAAAACTATTTTAATGCGTTTGTAGCTACGTAATGTAGAAACGAAACCCTGTGAAGCAGGACATTTGCTCTGCTTACTATCAATCACGTGACTTTTTGGATTTGACATGGGGGCTATAAATATTGATTAAGTACATTTTAAGTCTGTCTTCTGAGATGTTTACACTTGGGCAAACTATCCCGGATTCGTAGGCAATTCGGGATAGTTTTGTATCTGCCACGCTTCTTGTTTAGACTTCAAGCGATGAATCCGGCATAGTTTGGGACGAATCCGGGATTGTTTCGAATCCGGGATTGTAAGTGGGATAGTCGAATCCGGAATGCTTCAATCCGGTGTTATTTTGAACATTTCTGTGACCTGATAACTGCATTATGGAGCTTGGAGATATATTATTATCGGTCAGTTTTTTGCATCATTGCCTTTCGTGCACTATGCATGGTTTGAAAGTCGTCGCTTTTCGTGAAGGCCAGCTTTCCCAGTTGTTTCTGCGACTTTGATTTTCTAAATAGTCCAGTTTATCATCTGCTTCCTGTAATTCTTTCTTGAGTGTTGATAATTCTGTTTCGAGTCTTCTTATATTCTTTATTTTGTCCTTTGTTTCGCGAAATTCATTCTGGGTGAATTGCAAACTATCCCTGATATTTTGCACTTCACGGGAAAGTTTGTCAAAGCGATTATTAAAACTATCCATAGGGAGGTTTACGAAAGATTCAAAGTTGTCTTCCTGCAGTTTTAAGAACTCCTTAACTAGATCTAGGTTGGTTAGTGGAGAGCTCGAATTGCTGTCAGCCATCTTCACGCTTCCTTTTAATACTGCTATCTTGATAGTCGATAGTTCAATGTAAAAGTCAATGTTCATATTCAGTAAATGATGTATGATCTATATTTTATGGTTTATAGATTATAAGCAGATGTAAATAGATGATCTTTTAAACTTGTATTGAAATTGTCCAAAGTATTACACATATGGATGGGTGTAGGTAGTTCATTCCAGATTTTTGGTGAAGCTGCAGCAAAAGCTCTATCTCCAAAGGTCTTGCATTTGGTACGAGGGACATCGAGAAGTAGCTGGCCATCAATACGTAGGGCGTAGCGGTTGGGTGACTTCACATGCACAAGCTCAACAAGATATGATGGCGCCTGACCTTTTAGAATTTTGAATACGAAGAGAGCAATCTTGAATATGATTCGATGCTATACAGGTAGCCAGTGTATGTATACAGGTAGCCCAATTTTTCTTTCCAGATTTGGAATCAGCATTAAATTTAATTAATTTCAATTCGGAAAATCGAAGTTTTAAAAAAAGTTTAATATTTTTTCCAAAAGTAGGCAGTCACCTTAAGATCTATACCAACCTCTCACCCTACCTAGACGCTTTCTACTGCCATCATGCTGTACGCAGTGTAGTTTACAGCGGCACCACTGGTAACATGATTTTCATGTCAACGGCAAAAATGCACAAATATCCACAAGCTCACAATCAGATCATCAAGCCGATGGGAGTTCACCTCTACTAATAAGATGAGAAACGCACCTTGAGCTGGCCCGAAAAAGCTACAAGTTTATTTTCGAAGGTCTCGTCGTAGAAAATCTCAACATGGAGGTCCTCGCCAGCACCCCTTTCATGGAGATTAATGACATCACCATCCCGCTAGTCAATCAAGAAATAACCCTAAAAGACGGAACCACTTTCCTCTACGGTTCCAGCAATAATAAGCCAAACAATTTACTTCCACTAGCTATCATGTCAGAATTCAAGACCCTGCTAATACAATAGCGTCTTTGACCGTTCTATCAAGGGATGCAATGTGTCAGCAGTCCATGCCACTTGAGGCCAAAGTCAATATGGGCCCTCTTAAACTACCAAAGGAAAGGCCGCCCACCACAGTCTCTAAGTTATGAAGGTTTACACTTCCAATATGCTAATACGTGTGACGTGTGACAACTAACAGCACACGACAAGGAAATAACACGGAAGTCAAGCGTGAATAATCAACAAGAAGCCGTGAGCGAAAATAGTTGTGAGCGTATGTACTCATTTTTATTTGACTGCCTTAAAACCCTTCAATGCATAGGAAATTGAAAGAGAATATTTGTAAAAGATACATCTTTTAATGCCTAGCTGCATTTAGAAAAAAATTGTTCGACGATTTTTTGAATGCCGGTTTTATCGATATTTTCTATCGCTTTTGACAACAAATGGGGTCATTTAGCTTCATATCAAAAAATCCATAACGTTAGAACGAAAGTCCCAATTTGATTCATACTCAATAAGGACAGTGTCTATATCCGTACTTATATCCTAGCTACTAAAAATGTTGGATCCACTAAATTATAGTCCCGATTTTGAGGGTATAAAGTTGACACGCTGGAAATAATAGTAAAAGTCCATGAAAATATTCATCGCGTAATATTTGGAAAACGCTCTCATACATTTTTTTCATATTGCAATATGTTGGGTTCCTTGATGAATACTATCGACTTGTGCAAGTCGCTTTGAAAGTTAACGTTTAGGTCTAGTTTTCGAGGAAATAAGCGGCAAACGATTTCTATGATGTCACCATTACGTCGTAATGAAAAGGCCGCTTTAAACTAATTTATCCTTTTTGAAACCTTTAATCATTTCCTGACATTGTGTGAAAAGCGCTTGCAGATCGAGTTATTCAAGACGAAGTTGTAGCCGTTTCAATGCGGCTAGGTGTGCCAGACCAAAACTACCCAGAGCCTCCTTGAAAAGTATCATTATTTTACTCATGGTTTACATGAAAGCTATTTTAAATTTATATTTCCAAAATGGCCAGCATTTAGTAATACGAGCTACAACAAAAACACTCAAATACCCTAACTGACGTCACCATTATTAAATTTTTTTTTATATCGTTCCAATTAAACAGAATTGTCTTAAACTTTAAAAAATAATGAGACATTACCTGTTATTCAAGAAAATAACAAAATATATAGAGTCCCGTGCAAAATTTGAGGGTTTTGCCCTCTTGAAGTTCAATATTATGGTTCTTCAATAAAATCGTGATAATTGTTCAGCGGTTTCTGAGCGTGCGCACATCGTGAGCTCAAATCGAAAGTTGAAAAGTAGTCAACTGCTGAAGCTACAATTGTTTTTATTAATATTAAGCCATTCAAGTCGGCTTCCTCTGACAGTACGTACCTACCGACACCGTGTACGTTCAAGGGATTTAGAGTAAAATAAAAAACTTTATTTCCTAGTGATTTATAAAAACAAAGAAACCATTAGTGGTAAACCAAATGTTGAGTATGCTGAAGCTACGATTGTACACACCTTTAACATGTGAAGGATCCACAGCTGAATCCCCTTTAACTGTCTTAAGAATCTCCTCCATCTTTCTAATTAATCTCTGCTGTTCTTCCCACTCTTCAAGTGCTTTAATATAATTCTTTTCCTGTTCTGGGTCCACTTCTTCTATCTTTATTCTCTCGATCTTTGGTTTGTTATGAGGTCCACCCAGTCTTACCAACACATCTGAGATCTCACTCCAGTATTTCTCAAAATCACTGTCACTAACAGCTGTTTCTGTGATGTGGCCATAAAGTTCATTTCTATAATATTCGACTCGAGCCAAATCAGCTTCTCTACTCAGGTCTGTAGCTATAGGAATCTTGTCCCATCCTGTTGGTGGGGGTGTTAAACCACAAATATTACGCAGTAGTACAAATAACAGTTTAATGTCAAAATCTGCTGAAGTGACAGTTGTACTTCGGCTAGCAGGATAGAGTCTGTCCCATTGTTGTTTGTTTAGAATCCTCTTTTCTCTCAGTCCCTTTAGAGTAGAATGCACTGTCGTACTGAGTAGTGTCTTGTGAAGGGAGCTTGGTGAATGGATCGAGTCAAATACATCTCTTAAGGCACTTGTTCCACCATCAATCAATAACTTAGAAAGGCGAGCAAAGTTTAGATTTACTTTAATTGAAGAAGCCCAACTGATAGCCATTTTAACTGAAAAAGAGAAAAAATATATTGTAAAAGTAAGATAACTTAATGTAAAACAACAGAAGGAAAACACTAGAATAGTCACTACAAACGAATGCTTATATGTCTATGTATATACATTTACTCTGTGATGTCACTGCCTTGTTGCATTACTCGTGAAGCATCATGGATACTGCCTCTACTTTTTTCGTTTTTATTTCAGCTAGTGACTGCTCTAGCTTTAAGAGGAGAGCGGTATTTTTCAATGCCTTTAATGTGTGTTTTTTTTTTTTTTTTTTTGGCGCGATTTTTTTTTTTGGCAAAATATTGGGTGACATTTGCTTGTTATTTTTGATTTTCGTCCCCAGTCCCCTAAATTTTGACCAAAAATCTTCGTAAAAATGGAAAAACTTTGAGTGAAAATGAAAATTTGACAATGTTCTAACTAAGTTTCTTCAAATGTACGACCGAATTTAAGTTCTTTAGCTACTATTCTATCTACAAATGTTAAAATATTCCTGAAAGCTGAAAAAAAGGCAATGTRAATCCGAGTTCGAAAATTCAAGGTGAGATACAGAACGTGACCACAAGCGTGACTCGTGAGTCCGCGCAGCCATCACTTTAAGCGGCTGTAAATTATTCAAAACATGCATTTTTCTAAATGTACGAGTGGATCTAGGAAGTCTGGGATCTACTTATCATTTTGGCACCAAATTCGAAACATTTTGAATAAAAAAGTCTCTGTAAATAAGCACTCGAAAACAGATGATGTTTGCGATTACGGGCTTGCCCTCGCTCAGTTATAGTTAACTGTGTTGTGCTTGGGATTGCGCTGGCCTTGTTTTGTACCGAAGCCGAAGCCATACAAAACGAAAAATACAACGAAAACAATGCGAGAAATGGCGGGAATAATAGCCGCGAACAGTATTATTCCTCATTTCAGATCTTGATAAAGTAAGTTCAATTAGCTCTACTTTGAAAAGTTACATGAAGTAAATTTAATCTTCAGTCTTGAAATTTAAAGTTATAGTGCCTTTTGTGGAATAATTTTAAAGAGTTTTCAACTTCATTCTTTGTTTTGTTGTAGTAAACTTCTTTATGAAATGTMTAAATCGGCAGAACAAGAAGCTGACGAAATCAAAGAGGTGGATAGCAAGACTATTATTAGAAAAAATTCTCCCTTTAAGATCCTGATAGATAATGTATGCCAGAAATGCATATATATATATATATATATATATATATATATATATATAGACTTATACAGATGTTCAAAACAAACAAAGCTAGTTGTCTTCGAGTTCAAATGAGTTTGACCCAAAAGATTTAAATATCGTACTTACTTCGATCGGATAAATTTGCTCTTTATTGATATTTTCTTTTTTGGTTTGAATCTTTTCCCTTGTATACCAACTAAGCCGTCTTCTAAACTTTTAAAAAAAACCTTTCTCGGGACGCTTACGCTTACCCGCCATTTTGAACGCATGCGCTATATTATTCATGTGCAAAATGCGCAAGCCTGGGGCGAATGTCTCGTCTGAGTGGCCAATATTTTTGTATGGCTTCAAATTTTGGATCGACTTTTCAAGATTCGTCATAACTTTTGTTCCGCCCTAGACTTTCCATCCAAATTCACACACAGGCTGCATTATGAGTACTAGATAATAAGATTCTGAAAAGTTCAAAAAATCGTACCCGACGATGAGGAGAAAAAGCTAAGAACTAAAAATAGCACTGTTTGATTTTCGGCCGTAATAGCATTGGAAAAAATTGCATATACATTTGGAACATTTGCTCTTTTCGATCTTTTTCCTCTCTTTCCAAAGCAAAAGGTTGTTCTTCAAAGTAAAGTTATATAGCACAAGTAAACTGCTTGACAAAACATCCTAAATAACTCGTAAATCTTCCGTTCTTTCGCTAACTAGTAGTTAGCGTGTTTTCGAGGCTACGAAACCTAAGAAAGCATAAGAGGCGAATGTATAGGCCAACAGAAAGTATGAGCTTATAAAATCATCAAAAATACGGTTCTAAATTTTAACAAATTCCTATGAATTATATACCAAAACGTTCAGGAAAGCCCAGTTTTTGTTTCTTGTTTTTTTTTTTTTTGACAGGTTCTGCTTTATATCAAGGAGAGACGATTTTCTAGCTTGACCCTGGTTATGTCATGCATTTTCTCTTGTAAAATACGACCAATAGCGTACATTCAACTCAAAAAGTACGGTGGTTTTTTTCACTAGAATTCAATCTAAACCATATAATACAGTCCGTGAATAGTTGAATTAACTGAATCCACTTCTGTTTTTTGCCTAGATAGTCATTATTTTGAGAAAAGATCCAAAAACCGTGTTTTTGAGACAACTTGTATGGCTCACATGAGCGGGCGTGAGCTTGAAATCGTAGCTGACCAAATGTTAACAGATTTTTTCTGATGTAAAAACTTTAAAAATCTTAAAATAAAATACACTGATGGAATCTAGGATAATCCAAGCAGATAATATGAAAAATCCAGTTAAATTGATGACGCAGTTAGTTTTGCGAAGCGAGCGAGAATAATATTGTCCAAAATTCGCTCTGAATTAGTTTGGTTCCACCTTACTAGTAAAACATACAAGACGGTTAAATGAAATGGGTTGAACTCCGAACGAACATTAATCTTAGTAGTCAAAAGTTAACTCTTTCTGCAAATGACACTACTTTCTTTTTGGAAGACATTTCCTCACTTGACAATTAGAAACGTTATACAAGTATTCGTCTTTAAAACTAAACATAAAGAAATCAGAGGCTGCATGGTTGGGAAAAATTCCTGGAGGAGAATCGAATCAAACCTCAAACATCAAATGGGTTAATTTTTACGAAAAAGGTATGGAAATAATAGCCATTTATTATTTTTATAATAAGGACTACCATTACGATAACAACTTTAAAAGAGTCATTATTAAGACAACTCTATCAATTTGGAAAACGAGGAATTTAACGCTTTATGAAAAAATCCAAGTACTCCGTTCACTTGCGCTTCCCCAACTCCTATATGGATGCTCATAGATCCATGTCACTGAAGATTTTATTCAACTAGTTCAAAGTACAATTAAAGACTTTATATGGAATGGAAAAAAAAACTAAAATTAAACAGGTCAGTTTAATTGGTGAGTATTTAATGGGTGGCTTGAAACTCCCAGATTTCGAAGTGTGTCTGACTGTAAAACCCATAGGGGGTTTTCATCAAGTAAACATTAATTTTGATTATCAACGAATTCCAGAAAACTTGTCAAGATATTTTAAGATGTTGGTCGGAAGTAGAGATGGACAATATTAAAAATGACCCTTCCTTAGTTGTTGATCAATATTTATGGAATAACAAATATATAAAAATTGGGAACGCCTCAGTGTTCTATAATCGTTTCGCGGATCTAAACATAAACAAGGTATTAGATCTAAGTGATGATAATAATGAATTCCAATGGGATCATGTTAACAATCTGTGACTTAAGGATAAAGATTTCACGCGGTGGGCTGGATTAGTACACGCAATTCCGAAGGAATGGAAAAACGCGCTGAAAGAAAGGAACATAATATATGCAAAGGGCAACCAACGAGGTTTTTGACGATAAACAAAAAAGTTAAGCTGGAAAAGGTAGAAACAGTAGAATCTATGAAACTTCAATTGACACTTATACTAGATCTTTTCAATTTAAAATACTTAATAGTATTTTATACTTAAACCGCGACCTCTGTCGTTTTAAAAAAATTGATTACTCTACTTGTTCTTTTTGCCTTGTTCTTCATCCCGAAACGATAGGCCATCTTTTGGTGGAATGCATAGAATCCAAAATTTTTATTTTGAAATAAGGAGTTGGTTAGAAAAATATGACATTTATCATCTTGTCTGCAATTGTTTTTATATTATTCTTGGTGTTGATGATTGTACTATTAATCATGTTCTAATGATGTACAAGATTTCTCTCTATAAAGCAAGAGAGAAAGGAAAAGCTCCGTCCTTATCTCTTTTCAAAAATGTGTTAAACCAAAATGAACTCTATCAGTATCTGATTACATCTTTTATTTATACTATAATATATGGCTATTTCGATTTTTTCGTCATTTGGTACTCTGTGATTTTGATACCTGTGGTATCTCAGTAGTAAAATGCCTTTTTCGTATTTTTTTCCTCCGCGACAAAGTGACAAAGTTGCGCAAAACTACCCAGGGGTCTTCAGGAACTTACCCAAGAGACCTTTGCAGGTATTTGCTATAGGGTTCCCGTCTTTAGTCCAATCAATTATCACGTACCAGATGTTAATGAATAATCAATGTCATTATGTTGTCAAGTGATTGTGACAGGGCGGAGCTAGCAGATCACGTGGCACAGGTTTATGTCTACGCATGCTCTATTTCGTTGACCGCCGTGATTCAAGACAGCCGAACTAGTAGAAATATTAATTTCCCAATTTCGTAAACAAGGATTTCAAGCCGAGAAGATAGCGATGATTTCGAAGCGATTATTTCTAAGAATTTTCAATGAACTTCATGGGCAAGAGCTTGTTTTGGTTAATTATTCATGATTCATCTACTCGAACAGTATTTTCTGCACGAACAAGCGAAAATCGATGAGGAGAACAGGGTTTCAAGAGTCAGAATTACGATAAGCGATAGCATTAACAGATTCATTCAGCATGACTCGTTATTCTCTTGAACTTGGCAATAAAGCCTTATAGCCTGTATTTATGTTTTTTTTATTAACTGTTTTGGTTTCAAAGTCTACTCACAAAGGAACATGAGGTATAGCAATATCTATTTTAAGATTATATTTGATTAAAAAAGCAAAATAAATAATTTGTTACGCACATTCCAGGGTTTGATCTTTGCCGTTCGAAGCGTTACGATCTCCTTTAATTTTTTTTCAAAAAAATGGTGATTCATTAAAAAATATCGATAAATTATAAAATGTAAAGCAATTATGAAAGACATTCTGAGCAAATATTAGCCTGTATTTACCTTTTAAATTAAGCATTTTGATTTTAAAGCGAGCCCTGCGAATGTGCATGCTTTTGAAACGTGGTTGCACAACAAGCTAATTACGTATGCCAAAACCCGGATCCTGGAACTGGAATTTGAGTTCCCGATGCAGGCCCGTAGCTAGGATTTTTGTTGGGGGGGTGCTAATTTACAAAACGTGGACCAACCATATACTTTATTTTTTAAAAGTCCCATAGGTATAGATAAATTATTAAAGTAAAATTGATTTTTTTTACTTAGTTTTACGTGAAAATATCATACCAGCCAAAATCACACCCCCCTGCACCCCCCCTAGCTACGGGCCTGAGATGGAGTTTGATGAGTATGGCATAAACTATCTGCCTACAAACGGCTTTTAACACTGTCGTTTGAAAATTTGCAACTTATTTTTACTTCTTAGAGACTCTGATACTAGTAAACCGTCCCAACCAGAATCTGGTTTATCATTACTTCGAGACGTCACGAAATACTTTATCAGTAGTTTTGGAAGCTCAACCAACTAATTACTCCATGCATGTTGAAACCATGTCCTCCAGGTATCCCAGTGTACCCTGCCAAAAGGATCTTGTTATAAATAGTAAACCCTGAATACACATAGATAATATTATTTTACAAAATGTTTCAAGTTTTTGGCTACTATCGCTCTTTTGCTTTTATTGCGTTAATTGATCGAGCCTCCAATACGCTATGAAACACCGGTTTAAAAATTATCTATAACCAAAACCCCTTTTAAAACTTGATCAGAATCAGAATCAAATTAAAAGAGCTCAACAGAATCGAATTTAGAGGTTTAAACGTAGTTTGACCTGGAGCAAGCTTAGTTCTGAGAATACTGGCAGAGACTGACAGACAACGTTTTATATTTATACAGCTTCCGAATATTCAAATCGTCGTTGCTCAAAAAAGAATAGAAAAACCGTTTCCTAACACCCAATATTTAGCGGCTATATCAGTGATCCAAATTCATAATAATCTACTTTCAAGACTTTTCTGATCGTAGTTTGACCTGAAGCAATCTAGGTCCTTATATGATATTGGGGGAAAAAACCTTCCAAGACTGACGACAGCGCAACGTTTTATTTTACAGCGTCCAAATATTCAAATTATCTCTGATCAAATACGAAAAAAAAAAAAAAAAGAAAAGAAAATCCGTTTCCTAACACCAAATTTTTAGCGGCTATATGATCCAAATTCATATAATCTAGTTTCARGACTTTTCTGAATAGTACTTCAAGTCTCTGGTAGGTTGGGTGAAGCTTTTCAAAATAAGAATGCTAATAATGAATGCTTTAATATTCGATTTCAAGGAGTAAAAATCTGGAATTCTCTTGATGAAAATACTAAGGCTCTCTCCAGGACCTCATTTAAAAAAGCAATAATCGAGAATATCTTAAATGAATATTAATCATTGAATATCCTCATAATTTATTTTTATTATTATCATTATTTATTTATTTTATATATATATTTTTCTCTGCTTATTTAATACTTAATTTAGTGCCAAAAATATTATATCAGTAACAAACACTATACTTTGTGCCATCTAACTTAAAATCATCTTTCCTTAATAACATAGAACGRGCTGTCTGTTTTTACTTAGCCTTGTGGTTATTGCAGACAACCTGTACCTTCTTTTCATTTATCTGCCTTGGTATATATACTATAAATAACTGTGTTTTTTATACTATTTAGATTTATTTATAAATTATCTATATTGTATATATATAAAACAAATGCTGTAAATCCTATAAGAATACAAAAATAAAAAAGTTGTGTTGAAGTCAAGCTAGGTTCTTACATGATGATATTGGGGAAAAACCTTCCAACCTTCCCGCCACTTTTTATTTTACAGCGCCCGAATTTTCAAATTATCTTTGCTCAAAAAAGAAAAGAAAAGAAAATAAAGAAAAGAAAAAAAACCGTTTCCTAACACTCCACATTTAGCTGCTATTTGATTCAAATTCATAATAATCTATTTTCAAGGATTTCCTTAATAGCACTTTAAGTGTCTGGTAGGTTGGGTGACGCTTTTAAAAATAAGAATGCAAGAATTCGAATACCAATCTTTCTTCAAAATATTTCAATGTAATAATGTGTTTACTAGCAAAAATAAATTCGTACGACTTACCTAAACTGACGAATAGCGGGAAGAACACGAACGTCGAGTCATGTTTCAAGCAGTCTCACTTTCGACTCAAGTAAACAGGAAGTAACGGGATCAAGACCTACCTAGTGTTTGTTCTTATTAAAAAGGGGAATCTGAATGTTCCAACGATGTAATAAAGTTGAGAAACTGAAAAGGAAAGTTTTAAAAGTGAGGGAAATTAAATGCATTCAAATTTAATTTATCATCTAGATTTTTTCTATAAAAGTAAGTATGATGTCGTGCCACATCATTGGAAGAAATCGCGTAGTTCAAGTTATTAACCAATACGAGATAGCTGTTCCCACGCCTTAGAAAACAGCAGGGGCCTTCACAACGAGACTAACTTTGTTTGAAGATACATTACACAAAAGCCAGTTTAACAGGTTTTTCAAAACCAGTACAAAACAATGCACACTACCTTTTATGGAGTGTACTCTAAGAAAA